GATGATGTAACATCAGGAGTAGAACTACGGCTCTGGAAGGTGTTGAACTGGTCCCTCCACTATCTAGAACTTCTGGCGGCTGCACCGAACTAGAGGCTTCGACTGCTGTTGAATCTGACAATCGATAGAACCGGCCGAACCATTAGACCTCGGAGACAGTGGGAGTTCTTCACTATGCGGAAATGGTGGACAATCTTCCCGAACGAGGTCATTAGAGCTAGATGAGAACTTACCAGCAACTAGCTGTTTGGCTCGGCGTAGGGTGATTTTAGACTGATCAGTGCCATCAGTACTAGCAGGCATGGTCACAAGGTCACCGTTGGTATCCTGATAGACTCTAGTACCCTTTTCATAGTGGTCATAGATGAGAGATTGTAAGGCTCTAGCCGGTACCAAGTTCTTGAGAGAAGCATAGACCAGCTTAGAATACTCCGGACCATTCTCTATAGAGTTACCGTCGTCCGAAACACGTAGTTTCCCACCGTAATCACTCGGTAGGAGTATACCTTCGAACAGGTATGCCATAGCAGTGCCAGCAAGTCGAACGACAGTTAGAGGACCTCTCCATGTGGAGCTCAGGTGTCGACCAATAGCAGAGTCACTTGTCTCGCTAATATAAACCAAGTCGTAGAGTTCCAACCTGTAGTCTTGTGGAGATTCCCTAATAGAACGTTCACGTAGATCTGCTTGCTTTTGTTGCCAAGCATCGACGTATTCCTGGACAGTAATCTTGATCTTCTCTTGTTGATCAGCTAGAGTTGGTAGTAGAGACCTTACATAGGGCAAATAGTCGACATTCAGATACTTGACCTCGAGTTTGTCCCAATCGATAGATGGGAAGTCGAGAGGTAGATCACCAGGTAGTCTCTGACGATAACTGTAGTGTAGAGAACTAGGGCTGAGACTTGACCAATAACGAGGTGTGCTATTATAAGAGCGGACCGCCAGTAGATAACTGAAAATATAGTCATCAGGGGTAGCACTAGATGCCTCGATAGCCCTGGAAGTCTGAGCTAGATCTCGATGGGATCGTTCCCAGAAAGTCAAGTGTTGGCTATAACCAGGTAGAGTATACTGTCTCACACCATGTTTAGCCAAGATAGACCGTACCGCTCTTGTCATTAGAGTGTGAAGA